GACACTCGTGACACGGCTAAAAAGAAGGACCGGATGGGAAGGCAAAAAACGACCATGGCAACATGCTCCTCACCATTGGCATGAATACAAATGAATACAAATTATTGAAATGTCATGGTGGGGAACACTTGAAGTAAAGGACATTTTTCGTGAACCAGAGCTGCACACCCGTTTGGACGAGCAAGGATGCAGAGGCTGAAGCCAAAGCAGACGTGGAAGCACAGTTGCGGGTGGCTCGTGCCTCACAGATGGCTTTGGCCAAAGAGGCTGAAGCCAAAGCAGACGTGGAAGCGCAGTTGCGGGTGGCTCGTGCCTCACAAAGGGCTTTGGCCAAAGAGGCTGAAGCCAAAGCAGACGTTGAAGCGCAGTTGCGGGTGGCTCGTGCCTCACAGATGGCTTTGGCCAAAGAACTTGAGGCAGGTGGGTCCAATCAGTGTGGTTCATGGAGCCGTTCTGCTTATTCTTGGACTCAGGGTGACATGGCTTACACCTCTTTGGAGAGCGGCTGAGTCTCTAGTCTCCATCCTCAATCTACAGAAACCTCATGAAACCTTTAAGCCAGGTTGCTGCAGGTGACAACTTACTCGCTAAGCCAAGTTTTGGCAAAAGAAACCAGATAACCCTTTGGGATGCCTTTTGGAATCCCAATGTGCGTTCCGCACTCGTGGTTTAGCTCGGTGGCATAACCACTTGTTTGGGCAAGCAATCCATGATATTTGCTGGTGTTTTTGCTGGTTTTTGAGTTCTATGTACAGCCATTGACACCATTTGTTTGTTTGTTTTTTTTTCCGGACACAAGAAAGACGGAGAAGAATTTCTCCTTGTCAGCCGTTGGTGCACCGTTGAATATGACCCTCCTTCTCCGTAGGCACCTTCCTTGGAAGACGGACCTGGTTACGTGGACTTCACGACCTGTTTGGTATGCGGACAATGGTCAGGCCCATCTAGGCCCATGCAATCCACGTAACCACGATCACGATGATTCCAGGGAGTATAACATAAACCCACCATGGGTGCCACAGGGTCGTGGAATCGCTACAAACATCTCAAAACCGTGCTGGTTATGCTGGTAATTCACTGGGAGTGTAAGAGCTGTAAGTGTTGTGGCCTGTTGAATCCTCGACCACGACAGGTCCAGGAGTTCCTTGTTTTTTTTTTTTTTTAAGGCCGCTTTCAGCGATCATGTGGATTCTTCACTGACACAATATCGGGCCTCTTTCATGCGACCTCGGGCTTTGCAGAACCTCCCACTGATACTGAACCTCCCTGAAGGAGCTGCCGATGAGTGTTTTGTCCGTACAGCATCGTACAGCGATTTGGGATACCTTGGAGATGCATGATTCCCTAGGGCAGATAGACAGAGAAGGGGACTGAAGTGCCCCC